TAGGGTTCACTAGCACGGTAATCTTTTAGTTGCATTGATGTAGTCAAACGCAGTGGAGCACATATCCCTGTGGCAGTAACCAAATAGAGTGCCGCCAAGTGATAAAAGTACTAGTACACTTGCTTGTATTCCTAGCTTTTGAAATAGGGCTACTAAAGATCTTTTTCTCTGATAGAAGTAACGACTACAGAATAAAAAGAAATGTTAAATTGTTTCTATTTCGTTGCTAAAAATACACATCGGTGACGTATTGAGTTGAGCTTTGTTAAGGTGATAATTTAGTTGTGGAACTGTACAGCGAATTATGGTATAAGTGACCTCTAACTGGCAAGATACACAGCACTGTTTATTCCAGCAATACCTTAAATACTCGAAATCTTTAAATTTATCCAAATTACCTATTCCCATTGCAAACAAGCATTTCGGAACCTTAGCGCTGTCACGTGGGCCGTATCTGGCAAAACTGGGATGGTGGGCCCACTCAGCGGTACTGCTGCTTGTCGGGGCGTCAGGGCCATTTCGTTCAAATATAACGCGCGGTGGCCTGGTACCCATAGCAAATGCAGTTTTATGTTTTTCATACGCCATGTTTATTTCATTCTGCACTTCTTCCTTCTCGGCCTCTACGAACCATTGCTTCATACGTCACATGTATGTACCAAGGGTGATTGACACTTAGTATTTACCGAGTAACGACGAGAACACGCATGGGCAACTTTAATAAACACCTGACACTGGTAGCGTTGACGCGATGAATGCAAAAAATAAATATCGAAGTTCCTGCTGAAATCGAACCGAATCATTCTGCGTGGCAATTTAGCATTCTACCACAGAGCTATGCCAGGTTTCTGAACTACTCTTTAAGTAGACGCTAATCTTCGTAAAACGTCAATAGTGGTTACATTACAGCCTATGCAATTTCATAAAAATTACATATGTACTCCTTTAATACAGCCGTTACATCGGTATAACATCAATTGTGGTTAGGTGCAATGGACTGAAGTTGATTTATATAGCAGTGTCCAGGACCAGCCTTTTCACGAGCATCAGCGGTTCATATGGTTACGAAGTACGACGCCAACATGGTCCCGAAGGCGCGAATGCTACAAAACTCGCCGCTGTCAAGGTCACCAGCTGTTTGGTAGCGTGTGTTTCTCAGCCCTCGACTGCTTCTGCACAGAGCTGATAGCCGAGTGATAAGACCACGGCGAGGTAAGGCAAGGTTTATGTACAACATAGAAATAGAGGTGTTACATATTCGGCACTGGCGCTGAGAGTTTAGGGACTCGAAGAGCCGAGATGTCTTCTCTCTAACGCATACGTCAGCTTCTTTCTGATGCATAAGTCGGCTGCATGGAAAAGTGTCGTGTGGTTCATGATTGGCCCCAGGTGATCCTTTACATCGTGAACGTCCAATCAGAACTGCTGCCGGGTCGCGTCAGAACCCTCCAATGGGGACCTGCCGTTGGGTTGCATCATGATCCTTAAATACGGAGCCCCTGCGCTTGGTTGCACCCAAGGACGAGTGATGTTGCCACGCATTGCGTAAGACTCACCACACTGAATGGCACCGCTTGCTTCATCAAGCCCGTGGACTGAGGGAGCTCGCCATGCGTTGCGCAAGACAGACCAGCGCCGCCACTTGATGACGTCGTTGAGTTGATGGCGTCAGGCGGGCTCGCTCGCTGGCCTTGACACAGAATGCCTCTGCAGAGGCAATACCGTTCGGTGTGAACTCCCAGGCGTAACAGCACCCCCGCCGCCAGATAATGCACCGAAAAGACGAGCTGCTTCCACGTTGCTCGGGTGTCGGGCGTGCTTGTTCGCCTGGTCCCTTCAGGTTTGCCTCCAGGGCCATGGGGAGAATGTAGCTCTAGGCTCATTTCCGTGAACACATCCCATTCTTGAAGATGGAGCCATGCTTCACTGGCGTGTCGCCACCAACTTGCCAGCCAGCTTCGCTCGTCTCTTCTGATGATTTTTGGTCTCAGCACTTGTCGCTGGTTCTGCGACGCGCCAAGAATGGTTCGACAACAGACAACACACGACACAAGCAAGTGCCCTTGGTTACCCGACAGAACACCAGACAAAGTATAGTACAACTTATACCTAGATACATGTCTATTAGAATTTCGTTCCCTCTACATTAAGAGGCACATGTGGGGCACAAGACTTAAAATGAAAACTCAAATTTTTACACGCACAACAACATAATGAAATAGAATATGGCATAAAGTTGGCCCCTTGAGATCACTGTGGACGAGAGCGCTCAGCTAAGGCAATGATGAGGACAAAATTTTGCCCCGACTCACAAGTGAAAGACCGAAAGGTGGGAAACTTACTAACTAAAACGCACAGCTCAATGGGTCAACATTAGCGTTTAGCTTTTTTTTTTCTTGTAGCGAACGTCTAAGTTGTGCTGTTGGATTATCATGCTCCACCTCAGTAAACAGCCACGTTTAGGTGCATGCTATTTAACCAGCTTAAAGGACAGTGATTCGTTTCGACCACAAACCTCGAACCGGACACTTAACAGGCTAGCTTTTGAATGGCCAACACGAAGCAAGCGCATTATTTTTAAGTGGTACTGTATGCATCTTTCCTGCAGCTCAGTTTTGAAATTTAATACAAAACTGGCTTTTCGATTACATCACTAGAAGTAAAAATTTCTGCTCCTTCTTCTTCTGAAGCATTCAAAAGAAGATTTACGACCGCTTGACATGGAACGTATGGTTTCATCAAGTTACCGTGGTAAATATTTTTTGGCCCCCTTCCTGATTCCGCTTCATAATTGGCATCAGAATATATTGATATTACTCTGGCAGGCCCTTCCCAATGAACCTCAAGCTTGTTCCTTTTCGACGGCTGCAGCAGCATTAGCTGACTACCCACTTCAAAGGTACATTTATTTGCGAATTTGTCATAGTACTCCTTCGACAACACTTGTGCAGCCTTCATGTGGCTTTCCACAAGACCTTTCGTTTTTCTAAGCTTCTAAAAGTGGCCTAGAACATTCGCTACTAAATTAGGGTCCTCATCGAATCCCTCATAGGACTCGCGTAGCATTCACAATGGTGTTCTCAAACTCCTGCCATACACAAGCTCTGCAGGGCTAAAACCAGTGCTCTCACCAGGAGCAGATCTCAAAGCGAACATAGCGGGAGGACTACACGCAATCTTCCGAAATCTTCCAATGGGGACCCGCCGCTGGGTTGCGTCATGATCCTCAAATCCGGAGCCATGGCGCTGGGTTGCCCCCAAGGACAAGTGATGTTGACATGCATTGCGTAAGGCTTGCCAGACTGGATGGTGCCGCTTGCTTCATCGGGCTTGTGAGCTAAAGGAGCTTGCCGTGCGTTGCGTAAGACAAACCAACGCCGCCGCTGATGACATCGTTGAGTTGATGGCGCCAGGCCGGGCTCAATTGCTGGCCTTGACACAGATTGCCTTTGCAGAGGCAACGGACGTTCAGTGTAAACTCCCAGGCGCAACAATATCAGCTTTTGATGTTGCTAATACGCATGTCCCTGTTGGCGGTTCTTCCGCAAGTGTGGGCAGCTGGTTATATAAACATCTGCAACTTTTCTAGATATGTCTGTACGTGCGACAATTGCACTTACTTTAGTGTCAGCTTAAGACATGCCGCACAATAAAAAAAATAGCAGATCCCACGTACAGCGGAAGTCGATGATATGCGAAGCACGTATAAGAAAGTTGGTCTGACACTTCATGTGATGTTCTTACACGACACGTGTGTCATGATTGTCATGTCTGCACCAGTCATATATTTTGTCATCCATTGACGTCTTGTAACACCAAGCTTGGTATAAGTCGAGCTAGCAAAACGGCCGCGAGCACATTATGAAGGGCCCAATATACTCGAATGTAGCGTTGTCGCGTGCGCACGCCTCGGTTCAGCGACCCAACGTTAGCGAAACGCGAGCACTCTATAGGTTGACGCAAAGCGCGACCAGCATGACCGCGCGACCAGCGTCTGTCGGCGCGGCCCGATGGCAACCTGCCGAAATTCGTGCCGACGCGTTACCCATACAACCATGCGTTTCCTTTTTTTTGTGACAGATGGATGTTGGACGTACTGAAACGCGCATGCGTCAAAGCAGCGTAGCACGGCCCCGCCTGCGATATAGACGAAACCGGCGCCTGGCGTCACACACAGGCTTTGCGTGACGAATTGAACGCGGGAGCAGGCGCACCGCGTCACGTCGAAGTGTATTGACGCCTTGATTGTGGCATGTAGTCATATTCTCCCATGACACGCATCTCATGATTGTCATGTTTGCACCAGTCACATACCTTTGTCATCCATTGACGTCACGTAATACCGATTGAGGCATATGTGACGCTAGCGAAACGGCCGTGAGGGCATCATGAGCGTAGCCATGTAGTCTGTTGTTACATGACACGCCTGTAACGCCTGTAAGAAATAGAAATCATGACAATTATGACACACATGTCATAATTTTCATGTCATGAAGTCAAGTATGTTCTTAATACAGTTATGTTATGCCATTGCAAGTTTGGTATCGATACTATCATAGAAACGGCCAGGAGGGCTAAAAGCCATAGGCGCTGAATAGATAAGATTAGATAGATAGATATAGGTAGATAGATATATAGATATATAGACAGACAGATAGATAGAAAAGATAGATAGATCGACAGTGATAGATAAATAGATAGATAGATAGATAGATAGATAGATAGATAGATAGATAGATAGATAGATAGATAGATAGATAGATAGATAGATGATAGATAGATAGATAGATACGCTCAAAGTCGCCGAAGTTCACTAAGAAATGCTTCGCATTTAAAAATTGCGACGCGCTCACCCTTCTACCCCATACTTCGCATAACGTCGATTCCCAATTTTCGCACCATTATGCAGTTTGTTTTAGCTTTGGGACACAGATTTTGCGCATCCAGAGATGCGCCAAAAAATCAGGCACGATACTGATTTCTTTGTTTCTGTTTTTTAGTGCAGGCGCAATGACGACGGATCCACATATGGTTGCACCGGTCCCTGCATATGTAGAACGCTACGTCTCCTTCAGGAGTTGCGCTATATGGGAAAGGAACATGTGTTCCTGTGTCGTAGCTGAAAGTGTTCTTCAAACTGGCATCATTGTTAGCCTTAGAACCACTTAGAACATTTCGATGAAATAAAGTCGACAATTTGACAGCTGTCAACATCGTAATCATTGGGGACTCATATACAGATAAAGGCTATGACAAGAAGCCTTATTGAACAATGGGGTTCCTTTTGTAGCAGTGACTCTTCTGACTATACGGTCGGGGCTCTCAAGAAAACGCCTTTGAGTTTTTAAGAGTATTCTTTATATACATTTAAAATCATAATGCTATGTTGTCATTCAACCACTATATATATATATAATATATATATATAATATATATATATATATAGATATGAGATCTAACAGACAGTAATGCCAAGGAATGTACAGGTACAGGGGAACTTATTAGAACCAATTGAATGTAAATTAGAAGAAAGCAAAGTGGATGAAAAATACCAGCCCTGAGCAGGTTATTCCTTCTCACGGATTGTTATTTTTTCATCCACTTTTCTTTGTTCTTATTTACATTCAGTTGGTTCTAATAACTTCCCCTGTACATTCCTTGGCATTACTGTCTGTTAGATCTCAATAATATTGTGTTAAAACACGGAAAAACGAGCCCTTAGGTATACACTTCTTTCCCTTATATATATATATATATATATATATATATATATATATATATTATTATTATATATAGTCAAGTAGATCTTCGTGAGCGGTCACAACGTGTGACGTTTCGGCCTAGAGCCTGGCCTTCATCAGGATCCTGATGAAGGCTAGATTCTAGGCCGAAACGTCGAAAACCACGTTGTGACCACTCACGGAGGGTCTACTTGACTATATGCAACGCTAAGACCACTCAACCACCATGCCTTCCTATATATATTATATATATATATATATATATATATATATATATATAAGGGAAGAAGTGTATACCTAAGGCTCGTTTTTCCGTGTTTTTAACACAATATTAATGAGATATAACAGACAGTATGCCAAGGAATGTACAGGGAAGTTATTAGAACCAATGGAATGTAAATAAGAAAGAAGAAAGAAAAGTGGATGAAAAATTACCAACTGTGAGCAGGAATCGAACCTAACCTTTCGAATTACGCGTTCGATGCTCTAACCACTGAGCTATCACAGCGGCCCTCCCTCCATCCACTTTTTTGGGTTTATCTGTGAATTTAGAAGTAGGAGCGACAGTCAGCGCCATCTATAAGCCAAACAACGAGTGTGAAAACACTCTTATGCGCATGTTTGGCGTCACGTAGCACGTGAACTTATTATGAGCGGGCAGCTGATTAATTGTCCCTCTTATACAACCTAAACACACCAAGTCTGCCAGTACGAGACCCTCGTTCAATGAAATAAGGGAAAGAAGTGTATACCTAAGGGCTCGTTTTTCCGTGTTTTTAACACAATATTAATGAGATATAACAGCAGTAATGCCAAGGTGTTTAGGTTGTATAAGAGGACAATTAATCAGCTGCCCGCTCATAATAAGTTCACGTGCTACGTGACGCCAAACATGCGCATAAGAGTGTTTTCACACTCGTTGTTTGGCTTATAGATGGCGCTGACTGTCGCTCCTACTTCTAAATTCACAGATAAACCCAAAAAAGGGGATGGAGGGAGGGCCGCTGTGATAGCTCAGTGTTAGAGCATCGAACGCGTAATTCGAAGGTCGTAGCTTCGATTCCTGCTCACAGTTGGTAATTTTTTCATCCACTTTTCTTTCTTCTTTCTTCTTATTTACATTCCATTGGTTCTAATAACTTCCCCTGTACATTCCTTGGCATTACTGTCTGTTATATCTCATTAATATTGTGTTAAAAACACGGAAAACGAGCCCTTAGGTATACACTTCTTTCCCTTATTTCATTGAACGAGGGTCTCGTACTGGCAGACTTGGTGTGTTTAGGTTGTATAAGGGACAATTAATCAGCTGCCCGCTCATAATAAGTTCACGTGCTACGTGACGCCAAACATGCGCACAAGAGTGTTTTCACACTCGTTGTTTGGCTTATGATGGCGCTGACTGTCGCTCCTACTTCTAAATTCACAGATAAACCCAAAAAAGTGGATGGAGGAGGGCCGCTGTGATAGCTCAGTGGTTAGAGCATCGAACGCGTAATTCGAAGGTCGTAGGTTCGATTCCTGCTCACAGTTGGTAATTTTTTCATCCACTTCTTTCTTCTTTCTTCTTATTTACATTCCATTGGTTCTAATAACTTCCCTGTACATTCCTTGGCATTACTGTCTGTTATTATATATATATATATATATATATATATGTATATATATATATATATACATATATTAATAAAATAAGGGAAAGAATTGTATGCCTAAGGGCTCGTTTTTCCGTGTTTTAACACAATATTAATGAGTATAACAGACAGTAATGCCAAGGAATGTACAGGGGAAGTTATTAGAACCAATGGAATGTAGATAAGAAGAAAGAAAAGTGGATGAAAAATTACCAACTGTGAGCAGGATATATATATATATATATATATATATATATATATATATATATATTTGCGGAAAGAAGAGACGCCTTATCGACAAGGCTGTGGAGGAGATGGATTTTGAAACTAGCAGTAAAGCCCAAACTCCATAAGCGCGAAATGCACGCGACAGCGACGAGCGATGCGACGTAGATTGGCGTCGCGCGATCAGTCGCTAGCGCAGGCAAACCTCATTCACGCGACGGCTTCGGCGAGCGAATTCTATTGTTGCTGGCTGAGGCCGTCAACTCGCACCAAGAAAACCGCGTAGCGAGCGGTTTCCAATTTAAAAATAAGATATATTGTTGTGTAATGGAACGGAAAGTGTTTATTATTGCCTTGCAGCATTTTTTATATGCGCATGCGTAATAAACATTGCGTTATTTCTTGTTGCGCATACGTGACTCGGCAGGGTCACGTGCACCTATGTAGTCTTCGTATTTTCCGGTTTTTCGCTATTGGCTGCTTGAGCCCAGCACTTCCGGGCGATAAGCGACGGTTTCCAAATCTGGAGAACCGAGCGATCGCGCGAAAACGAGCACGCGACACGTCGCGCGAACGCCCTGTTTTGTCGCTCATAGCGTCGCTCGTCGCTGTCGCGTGCATTTTCGCGCTTATGGAGTTTGGGCTTAAGGGCATGACCAGTTGACCAGTGATCGAGTGCAGACAATCCTTCGCCCTTCTCGTCAGGCGCACACGCGCGTCACCCCCTAGTATCAATATGCATGCATGTAGCATAATCTCCGGCGGCAAAAGCGCCATCTCAGCGTGTTGACATGTCAACGTCACTGGAGAGTGGTAGGGCTTCAGCACGCAACATGTACAATATCGGTAGCCTGTGGGGCACAGGAAGGCGACGGGTGACGGGACCTATATCTTAGGTCTCTGGAGTAACCACACGAAGTACTCGGTGGACCTGTTTAGTGAGTAAACAGTTTCTTCGACTATCCAACTTGACGCGTCGGAGACCACAGCAGGACCAAAGAACGGGTCGAAAAGTGTACGTCGTGGTGTCGTTGATCATACTAACGCTGTCGCTTCCTTTGAGAAGTCAAAAGGCGTGTACGGGTGATTTCGCATGCGTGCGTGGCCCGAGTGATAGCGTCCATGGCATATTCACTGGTTGGTGCGGCAGAGAACGGGATGACGGTGTTTAGGGGCAATGTTGGTTCTCGGCCAAACAGCAGAAAAAATGGAAAGCAACCAGCAGTGTCATGGCGCGAAGAATTGTACGCAAATGTTACGTACGGCAACGCAAGATCCCAGTCGGTTGGTAGAAACATACTTAGCGAGCGTGTCTGTAAGAGTTCGATTTAGATGCTCCATGAGTCCCTTGGTCTGTGCAGGGTTCGATGTAGTCAGCTTGTGACTCGTTTCACAGGACTGCAATGTCGGCAAAAAAGATGCTGCCACGGTCTGTAAGCAGCTGCCGTGGGCCTCCGTGTTTCGAAAGCACGTCCTTGAAGAGAAAGTCGGTTACATCTGTGGCGCAGCTTGTTGGAAGAGCTCGTGCGATGGCATAACACATGGCGTAGTCGGTGGCCGTGGTTATCCACCTGTTGCCCGAGGAGGACGTGGGGAAAAGGCCAAGTACACCAAGGCCAACGTGTAAGGGTAGTTCTGACGGAATGTGAAGTGGTTAAAGGCGTCCGGCGGGAGGCTTCGATATTGTTTTGCGGCGCTGACATTTCTCAGAAGCCGCAACGTATCTTCTGACTGAGCGGGTAAGCCCTGGCCAAAAGAAGCGTCGGCGTATTCGGTCGTAAGTGCGTGACACACCAAGGTGACCGGCTGTCGGAAGGTCAAGAAGTTCGTGTAGAACTACCGAGCGAAGGTGTTTCGGAAGGACAAGAAACAGGGCCGGTCCATCCAGCTTAATATTTTGGTGGTATAATAGACCATCGTGGAACACGAATGAGTGATGGGACTGATCGGAAGATGGTGATTTGAGGCGCTTCATGATAGCACGCAAGGATGCATCACGACGCTGGTCGTCACCGATTCATGTCATTTGCGAAAGGGAAAAGACGCAAGGTTTTTGTCGGTTGTCATGCATAGTGGTCGACTCAGCGATCGGGTAGCGGGACATGCAGTCTGCGTCCTGATGTAGGCGTCCGGACTTGTACGTCACCGTGTAGGTATACTCTTTCAGTAGCAGAGCCCAGCGCCCGATCCGGCCAGTAGGATCCTTTAGTGACGTAAGCAAACATAGCGCATGATGGTCAGTCATTACAAAAAATGTGTGTCATACCAATATTGGCGGAACTTTGAGACTGAACAAACAAGAGCAAGACATTCGCGCTCTGTAATGCAATAGTTGCGCTCAGCAGCAGTGACGAGGCGGCTAGCTTAGGCGATAATGGGGTCATGTCACCGTTGGCTTGGGGCTAGGATTGGGCTAGGACGGCTCCGATCCTGTGACCACTGGCATCGGTTCGGACTTCTGTCAGAGCAGATGGATCAAAGGGAGGCAATATAGGTGAAGTCGTCAGTAGCGTGATTAGGTGAGAAAAAGAAGCAGCTTCGTCGGCACCACACGTAAATGAGACGTCTTTCTTCGAGAAGCTCTTTGAGGGGTCGAGCGATGGTTGCGAAA